GGTTGGGGCCTGGGGGGGAAAAGGGGGGGGGGGGGGGGGGGAATGAAGAAGAAGAAGAAGAAGAAGAGATTGGATTTATACCCCGCCCTTCACTTGGAGTCTCAGAGCAGCTTACAATCTCCTTTCCCTTCCCCTCCCCACAACAGACACCCTGTGAGGTGGGTGGGGCTGAGAGAGCTCTGACAGAAACTGCTCTTTTTTCAAGAACGGCTCTGACAGAACTATGGCGTGCCCAAGGTCATCCAGCCAGATGCAAGTGGAGGAGTGGGGAATCGAACCCGGTTGACCCTGGTTAGAGTCCGTGCACTTAACTACGACACCAAGCTGGCTTACAAACTCTTTTCCCTTCCCCTCCCCACAACAGACACGCCCTGTGAGGTAGGTGGGGCTGAGAGAGCTCTGACAGAAATGGCTCTTTTTCAAGGACAGCTGTTGTCAGAGCTATGTCTTGGCCAAGGTCATCCAGCCAGGTGCAAGTGGAGGAGTGGGGAATCAAACCCGGTTCTCCCAGATTAGAGTCCGCGCGCTTAACCGCTACACCAAACTGGCTACACTACACCAAAATAAAGAACTCATAAGAGCTAGATCCTTGCTTTTTTAAAAAAAAGGGGTGAAGAAAGGAAAAACAGAAGTGAACTCAGCACGAAGTCTCAGCCTCAGCCACCACATTCTGAGCAACGGTCACAAGGCCGTGTTTCTTCACAGGCCGTGTTGGTTCTCCAGCACGAAACCACCTCGTGCGCCAAGCGCAAGCATCCCCGTGGGCGGGGCCGTCACAGTTCTGGCCGAGAGGCATGAGGACCGGCAAGACTCGGCTTGGTTCTGCAAAGGCCACAGATTCCTGAACAGAACGGAATGCTGGATTGACAGGCAGCTCCGTAAGGAGGAGGAGGAGGTTCTTCTTTGGGTTGACGAAACACCCCTTTTTAAAAAATAACTAATTACACAACCTTCGCACAGGGGTCATTTATGGGCCTTGCGACACAGACAAAATCCAGAGAGGTTTCTTGGACAGGACACGGCCTATGATTTCTAGAGGGGCATTAAGACCAGGCCTCGGGGGGCGATGAATGGTGTGGGAAAGAGATCCCTGAGGAAGAGATTCAGAAAAAGTGGAATGACGGAAACATGCTGGAGCTCTTCCACTTTTCAGGAAAATTCAGCTGCTGAATGGGCTCCCAGGAATCCCATGCAAACCCTGAACATCACACATGAACACATAAGAACATCAGAACAGCGCTGCTGGATCAGACCAGGGAGGGTCCATCCAGTCCAGCCTCCTGTCCCACAGAGTGGCCAACCAGTTCCCCTGGAGGGCCAAGAACAGGGCAGAGAGGCTGAGGCCTTCCCCTGATAAGGACATCAGAAGAGCCCTGCTGGGGCAGACCAGGGAGGGTCCCTCCAGTCCAGCCTCCAGTCTCACACAGGGGCCAGCCAGTTCCTCTGGAGGGCCAGCAACAGGGCAGAGAGGCCGAGGCCTTCCCCTGATAAGGACATCAGAAGAGCCCTGCTGGGGCAGACCAGGGAGGGTCCCTCCAGTCCAGCCTCCAGTCTCACACAGGGGCCAGCCAGTTCCTCTGGAGGGCCAGCAACAGGGCAGAGAGGCCGAGGCCTTCCCCTGATAAGGACATCAGAAGAGCCCTGCTGGGGCAGACCAGGGAGGGTCCCTCCAGTCCAGCCTCCAGTCTCACACAGGGGCCAGCCAGTTCCTCTGGAGGGCCAGCAACAGGGCAGAGAGGCCGAGGCCTTCCCCTGATAAGGACATCAGAAGAGCCCTGCTGGGGCAGACCAGGGAGGGTCCCTCCAGTCCAGCCTCCAGTCTCACACAGGGGCCAGCCAGTTCCTCTGGAGGGCCAGCAACAGGGCAGAGAGGCCGAGGCCTTCCCCTGAGGAGAGCATCAGAAGAGCCCTGCTGGGTCAGACCAGGGAGGGTCCATCCAGTCCAGCCTCCTGCCTCACACAGGGGCCACCTAGTTCCTCTGGAGGGCCAACAGTAGGGCCATGGAGGCTGAGTCCTTCCCCAATGTTGCCTCCTGGCTCTGGGATGCAGGGGAACAGTACCTCTGAATGTGGAGGTTCCCCTCAGCCAGCATGGCTAGTAGCCACTGATAGCCACTCCATGAATCCACTCCATCCTCTG